TGGCTCAGTGGCAGAGCCTCTGCTTGGCATGCAGAAGGTCCCAGGTTCAATCCCCGGCCTGTCCAGCTAAAAGGACCAGGCAGTAGGTGATGAGAAGGACCTCTGCCTGAGAACCTGAACATCCATGGTCAGTCTCAGTACATGATACTGACCCCAATGGACCAAGGGTATAAGGCAGCATCATATGTACATTGAGGTACCATATAAACGTATAAATGAGAAATAACAAATCTAGTAAAAATTTAAATATTTTTAAATCCCACTGATTTCCGGTGGAGATTTAAGCTGACCAGAGAAACTGTATTCTCTAAACATATTGATGGCCTTTACAGTTCCAACTTCCAATATCTGGGAAAAGTAGGGTAAAAATATTTTTAACTACTATAATATCAAATTTTGTGGCAGGGTATGAGCTTTTGTGACTCGCTTTTGTGAGACTCACGAAAGCTCATCCCCTGCCCCGCAAAATTAGATTTTGTAATTATTAAAAATATTTTTACTTTTACTTTCCCCAGATATCTGAAGAAGTGAGCAGTGACTCACACGAAAGCTCCTCCCCTGCCACAAACTGGTGTTAGTACTCTGGACTCTTGCTCTTTTCTGCTGCCGCAGACAGACAGACTAGGACGGCGACCCATCTTGATCTACAAAATCAAATAATAATAAAATCTAAAACCTTGCCTGCTTGACAGTCTCTCGCTGTCTGAAATCATTCTACACATTTCCCCCTACTGTTCCTTATCCCTGGAAATCCCTTCTACAATATCTCCCTCTATTCCCTAATACCCCAATTCAAAACTCACCATTTCCATAAAGCTCCTGTTGAGCCCTTTCCGTGTTATTGCACACGCTATCTTGTTTGTGCTGTACTGCTTTCTAATTTTCGCAAAACAGTTCCGTTGTCCTGTCTATTGAATGTCTTAGGCAATTGTTACCGCATGGTTTTTAAATTCCGCAATCCTCTTTGGCTCTCAGCAAGAAACACAGACTACAAATAAAGTACATGATGGCTGCGGTCACATTGGAGGCTTAGCGTGATATGGCTGTGCCTCTGTTTGCAGCGGTTTAAATAGTTGCAGGAAGTTTTGATCAGGCATCCCACCCTGAACCAGCTTCACTGCACACTGGCCCCATGTTCAGATTGGTCCTTTCCGCACTAGACTTTAAATCCTGGTTCAACCCTGTCCCTGAATTTACATTCTACACTACATGCGAGTTCACCCCTGTAATGACCTCGGGGTATTTTTACATTCTACACTATACGCGAGTTCACCCCTGTAATGATCTCAGGGTATTTTTACATTCTGCACTACACGCGAGTTCACCCCTGTAATGATCTCGGGGTATTTTTACATTCTGCACTACACGCGAGTTCTCCCCTGTAATGATCTCGGGGTATTTTTTGTTTTCACCTTACACTGAGGTCACCCCAGTTTTGCCCCACACTTGTCCTGGGATGAACAGATGCTGTTACAACCAGGGATAAATGCTAGATGTTGTGTCACGACTTGAGCTTGGATAAAATCAGGGATGAGATCCAAGTGCAGAAAGGGCCCTTGTCGGCATTTTATTTTTTGGGGGGGTCGCCTCTCTTCCGTGGAATACATGGGGGAGTAAATTGCAGATTTACATGAGAGTCGTCCCATTGACTTCAGTGCATTTACCCTGGTGTCAATCATGGGATGCTCAGACTTTGACACAGGAACAGGAGAGAGGGGTTCTGGGTGGGGGGGGATTTGTCGCTCGAAAACAACTCTCTTGGGGACTCTGGATCCAGAATGACTTATTTGGCCCGCAGGGATTTCACAACCCCAGGGGTGATTATGCGCTTATGCGAACATCGCTACCTGATCCCAAAAAAATATTTTTTTTAAAGGCAGAAATGGAAGGGAAGGTTCAGACTTGGAAGGGAAGGTTCAGTCTTCCCAAGTAGTGGGGGGCTGGAGATCTACCAGGCACAGATCAGTTCCCCTGGAGGAAATGGCTGCTTTTGAAGCTGAACTCTATAGCATTACCCCCTGCTGAGGTCCCTCCAGCTCCCCAAAGCTCCAGGAATCTCTCAATCCGGAGTTGGCAACAGAGCTGCCAGTCTCCAGGGGGTGGCGGGGGAATCTCCCAGAATCTCCAGGTTACGGAGGTCAGCTCCCCTGGAGAAAACAACAGCTTTGGAAGGTGGACTCTGGGACTGTACCCCACTGAAATCTCTCCCCGCAACAAACCCCGCCCACGTCAGGCTTCGCCCCCCAAATCTTCAAGTATTTCCCAACCCTACTTGGAAACCCGGAGTACGCCAATTCCACCCACGAGCCAGTCTGGCCTTAAACTGTAGCCCTGTTTTCTTGGGGGTGGAGCCTGAAGAGGACAGAGGCAGCATTTCAGTAAGCTGTTGTTGTTTCCCTGTAGCCGTTCAGAGCCGCCAGAGACTGTAGGGTGGGGCTGGGTCCCCTTCCCCCCCCCTTGGTGCCCCTCCCCAGACCTATTCCATCACTTTGCCACTATTTGTAATTTGCCCAAGAAGAGAAGCGGGCGATGCATTTTGAAAACGAGATGTTTACGGCCTATAAAACCGCATGGCACTCTCCATTTTCATTTACGGATTCCCTGCTGGGAAATTGGCCAACTGTCTGCAGGCTCCCTAATTCTGAAAGGACTCGAGTCCCGAGAGGGTTCATGGCCACTAAAAAGCTGTTGTTGTTTTCCACCGGGAAGCCGCTTTCCCACCATGCAACGGTTAGAGGGAACAAGTACAATTGGCTGCAATGGAACGGATGGCTTTCGAAACAGCGCTCGGTACGGAAATGCAGATTGCGGACCTTCACTTTCACCTTGTCTCCACTCTCCCCCTTCTCTTCACCTCTCCTCCGTCCCACCTTTTCCATTATACTTTGGTCCTCTTTCTTTGGACAGAACTAAACGTCCGTGCCCAGACAAGCAGAGCTGTCCCCTTTGCTGTTTTTACCGTCTCTCCCCTCATCCGTGATGCAGTTTCGGCCAGTGATTAGTTGGCTGCCCAGTGGCAGGAAAAGGTGTGTCTCACTGGTGACGCAGCATGCTGTTCCGCAAGTTATCAGTGGGGGTGACGGGCAATGTTCCCTCTAAGCTGTGGAGTCTTGTGAGCAACAATTCTACTTTGTGAGCTACTGGCATTAAAGTTGTGAATGAGCGATTTGGCTGCTGCATAAATTAGTCTGCTCTGGAGCCATCCTTCTTGAGCTAAGACAAAAATGTGTGAGCCGGAGGCTAAAAAACTATGAGCTAGCTCACGCTAACTCAGCTTAGAGGGAACACTGGTGAGGGGTATGTTTCTGAACCCATCTTGTTCCATTCTCAGGACTCAACTACACACTAATATTTCTCTCTAGGGGATTTTCTGCAATCTCATTTTCCTTGCTTGTGTAAGTAAGTAAGTAAGTAAGTAAGTAAGTTTATTATTACGGTTGTTGACCAGTACACGGTAATAAAACTAAAACAAGTAAAACATTTATACCCAAAACTTAAAACATTTCTGTTCCCTATACATAAATATGTAGCAGGAACTCCTTTGCATATTAGGCGACACACCCCTAATGTAGCCAATCCTCCAAGAGTTTACAGAGCTCTTCTTGCAGAGGCTACTGTAACCTCTTGGAGGATTGGCTACATGAGGGGTGTGTCGCCTAATATGCAAAGGAGTTCCTGCTACAAAAAGAGCATTTTTGTGGTGGTGTGCAGGTCCCAGGTTCATGTTTTAAAAGCAGACTGACACTGTTTGCCCAAAGCCAGAGCACTCTCCCAGAGCCTCTTTCTAGATCCCGTTGTATTTATTTCCACAACGGGCCTTATTTTTAGTACATAAATAAACCACTTATAACCATGTGTATTGCTCCCTCTAGTGGCTGATTTGATATTACATCGCTTTACGCCCTGGAGAATGGCAGGAAAAAGATGTTTTAAATAAATTGATTTAAATATATTATAAAAAGCCATTCTTTCAAGCAAATTGGGAAGCTATCCTGGGGCAAGGAGTACTTGTGAGAAGAATCATGATCGGGTTACCAGCATTTGGCCTAGCACTTGGGTTACCAGGTCCTCTGGACACTGACAAAGAATGGTGGGCAGAGCTGCCAAATCCCAGCTGAAACTCCTGGAGATTTGGGGGTGGAGCCTGAAGAGGACAGAGGCCTCTGCGGGGTACCATGCCACACAGTCCCCCCTCCAAAGCAGCCATTTCCTCCAGGGGAACTGATCTCTCTGGTCTGGAGATGAGCTGTAATTTCGGGGGATCCCCAGGCCCCACCTGGAGGCTGGCATCCCTACCTGGCACAGTTAGCATCTTGCCAGTGTTCCCTCTAAGCTGAGTTAGTGTGAGCTAGCTCACAGTTTTTCAGCCTCCAGCTCGCACATTTTTGTCTTCGCTTCGGCAGGATGGGCTCCGGAGCAAACTAATTGATGCAGCAGCCAAATCGCTCGCTCACAACTTTAATGTCCCTAGCTCACAAAGTAGGATTTTTGCTCACAAGATTCCACAGCTTAGAGGGAGCCTCTTGCCATAGGCAAGTGTGCCCATCTTAAAACCTTGTCGACCCCGAATCCCCCATTTTCTCAGCTCTGTTGGTACCCTTCCCCCCCCTTTGCTGTAACCTTGAACGTACCTTCAACGGTGACGTGATAGGTGTGCTGCATGGTGCCACCCGAGTTGCGAGCGATGCACTGGTATTCTCCGTCGTCCTCCTCCGTCACGTTCTCGATGCGCAGGGTCCGGTTGAAGTTCTCGATGACTGCCCGATTTAAGGGCATCAGACCGTCTTTGTAGACCCATTCCACTGTCGGCGTGGGGCTGTGGTGAGAAGGGAAGAGTAAGACTGGCAGAGACTGATCAAGAGAGAGATCTTGGAGTCGTAGTAGATAACTCACTGAAAATGTCGAGACAGCGTGTGACTGCAATAAAAAAAGGCCAATGCTATGCTGGGGATTATTAGGAAGGGTATTGAAAACAGATCAGCCAGTATCATCATGCCCCTATATAAATCAATGGTGCGACCTCATTTGGAATACTGTGTGCAGTTCTGGTCACCACACCTTAAAAAGGATATTATAGCTTTGGGGAAAGTGCGGAAAAGGGCAACTCGAATGATAAAAGGGTTAAAATACTTTCCCTATGAGGGGTGACATGATCGAGGTTTATAAGATTATGCGTGGGATAGAGCAGGTA